GTTGGACATCCTTCAGCATCCAAAGGAAATCTTCACCCTGAAGACCTGTGGATGTGGCACTGAGGAACATGGTTTAGTGATGGATTTGGCAGTGCTGGGTTAACGGTTGGACTTTGTAATCTTAAAGGCCTTTTCTAGCCTATAAGAGTCTACTCACCCACGTGTGGCTGATACTTCAGTCCTCACCACATCCTGTTTGGACATACGTTGCTGTTTCATAAGGCTGTTTGACTTGGGAGGTGGGAAAGAGGAAGTGTCTTTAGGTGGAATGACAGCAGGACGCTGACACACAGCTCTGGTGTCCCGTAATCCACACAGGAGATCAGAACTGATCAGCTTTCCCAGCCCTCAGCTGGGCCGGGAGCTTTGATGGGAATGATCTGAGTGTTTGGTCAATGTAAGATAGTGCATTTAACAAAGTGGAGAACATGGGTGGTATCTTACCTCACGGACTCACCTTCACTTGGTCGTGTTTGCAGTAGTGGGATATAGTGTTGGTGCTGGCTGTGGGTGGGCTATGCCAACATGGCTTTTAGTACGTGTGTTTTACTACAGCATTTTATCTGGTCCAGTTAACAGATAGGACTTTTCCCCTGACACGCAGCATGGCAAAGGAGAATGTATTTTCTGTCTGCACTATCACCTCTCTGGGTTTCCTCCATGGTTGAGCTGTGTGTGTTCAGAGGCATGGGTGCCCTCTCAAGTTCAGGATGAGGTTTTGAGTTTTAACTCCTGCCTTCCACAAATGTTGTTTCAGCACTATCATCAGTAGCTCTGTTTCTGCTATTTCTGAATCCATAAAGAATTGAAATAATTTGTTCTTCAGTTCATCTGTGAGTCCTTCATGGTGATGTTATTCAAATGATTAACTTAACAGAGGCTCCTGGAGCTCCTTACATCATAAAGCTTCTCTTCAATCACTAATTTTGACCTGGGGGTTCAAGTAAAATGACACATAATGCTATTCTGGCATCCAGTATGTACGCCAGCCACTGGAAATGTAATTTGGATGTGTTTCACAAGGAAAGCTTAAACTGCTAGGATAGTTTAAAGAAATGGCCAGGTTTTCTAGTATTTTGAATAGGTTTTCAGTTGAACTTTGGGAAAGAAAAGATGGGGAATGAGCCTTTGCATCACTGAACAAGCCACCTGCCTCTCTAAGGAGCACCCTCCATGGTGGCTGCTGGAGGATGCTGTGCTCTATGCCTTTTCCAGCCATGCAGGACATCTGGATACCGTATGTGAGGCTTTCTGGTGGTGCCTGCAGGTGCTGAAGAGTCTTAGCTGTAAATGTACTTGTCTGCAGTCTCTTGCAGTAAGAGGCACGATGTCTCTTGAAATAACTTCTGAAATTAAGGTGCTGTATGAGTTAGATTGTTTCAGTGTTGGCATATTTGGGCCACTTTGAAGAGGTGCCATAGCCAAACTCCCTCCTGGTTGGTGTTTTAACATCAGTCATAGATGCTGAGTGTATTACAGACAGAGGTTTAAGACATCATCATCTTCATGCATTACCTTCTAGTAAACTATGAATCTGTGGACATCGTTGAGTTACTGTGGGATTAATTTAGGTATTAACTATCAACATCTCAGCTGCTGTTTAGTCGTAGAATACCAGCCTGGTTTGGGCTGGAAGGGACCTGAAAGCTCATCCAATTCCAACCCCTGCCAGGGGCAGGGACACCTTCCACTAGAGCAGCTTGTTCCAGGCTCCATCCAACCTGTCTGTAACCTTCCAGGGATTGAGCATTCACTTGGGCAACGCGTGCCAGGGCCTCATCATCCTCACAGTAAAGAACTTCTTTGCCCATCCTTGCTTTTCTCCTGGAGTGAAAGTACATGAGCTTTTGTTCTTAACAGACAACTAGAAGGTGCTGTAAATTAGGTTTACACAATGGTATAAATTGTGTTTACCTCACTGTAACTATTCTGTGTACCCACACCTCTTGCAAAATTTCATACCTGGATGGATCCACCAGACTACACAGGGGACATGAAGGGAAAAGCTATGCATGATTCATGGTACAGGACTTTTATTCTCAGAGTTGGCTGTTTTAATCTCTTCCCATCGGTTTACTTGGCACAAGTAGCCTATTGTGCAGTAAGCCAAGCCATCACTAGTTTCAAACCATGTGAGATCTGGGATACTTAGAATCAGGAATCACAGGTTTAAATCATATATCTCAACTTAAGACAACATGCAGCAAGTCAAAATTTGTCCTTCTGAGCAGAAAGGTAATGCAACACACAGCCCCAGAAATGTGCAAAACCAGAGCCAAGCAACAGTGGGAGCAAACACAGACATTGCCTTTGCCAGCTGAGGAAGATGCCTTCTCTGGGCAGCACTGTGGAGATGTTGGGTGTTGCCTGTCTCATCTGCTGGGGAAGGAAGGGACCTCTGTTGAGGGGTGGCCAGTCCCCTCAACAGTTTAACTCCCTCCAGGGATGGCTCAGGGATGATGCCTTCCTGAAGCCTTTGAAAACTCAGGAGGTCTCATTTCTAACTCTTTAAGTAGTTTAATTCATACTGGCACAACCCATTGCCACTCATTTACAAACATGTTTTATTATGTATTGTGTTACAGACAAGAACTAATTTCAGGAATTGGTGATTACCTCCTTGTGTCTGTGTGTTGGCATTTGGATGTCTAGAGACTGAAGCTCACCTTCCTGGCATGCTCTATTTCTCATGCTTCTGTCTGAGGAAAATACCTTTATTTTAGCTGTATCTGGAAACAGCTGTATCTGTTCGATTTGCAGATATCATACAGAGACAGAATCTGCTTGGACTGTGAAACGTAAGCCTTTAAAGCACACATACCAAGCACTTAAGGCAGTTATAGTGTCCTTGTTTCCTGGGAAGCAGGACTCTACTCATTAGGTGCAAGTCACCTAGACTAAAAAGCCACTGGTCATTCCCTCAGGTCATCAGCTCCAATTACCTTAGCAGAATAGTATCACCCATAACAACCTAAGTAAATCAGGAAGTCACCGAACAAGGGAAGTAATTACAGCTTCTTTCAGTACTGAAAAAGCAACCTGTTCTTTTACGACCCATCAAAACCATGTGTTTGTCTTTAGTGGTTAAAATAAGGGGTGTGCAATTTGGGAATAATCCAGCTATGAAGTTTCCTCAGTAATTGGCAAGTCCTGAAAGGTTTTTCACTCCTGCAATTTAAAGGTGGTGAGCATGAGATTAATTTAATTTTCTTTTAGATTAGCCTTTAAGGGACACTGCAGTACCAAAGAATGACATTTTTGAACAGTGAACCCACATCTCATCCGTTTAACATGAAGATTATTTTGTTAACTACCTTTAAATTTCATTTATGATGTGATTTACTCATGCTGTGAACCAGAATGTCAGTCACCAGCTCTAGCAAACATGGAGAATTTGAATTATATTTACCATTTTCTAGCATGTTACTCAGTGTTAGCATTATCAGTTTACACAACTCTTGGTTTTCAGTCTTCAGCACACCCATTCACTTGATTCAGATTCAACTGGTTCAGGGTAAAAGTATCTGTGATAAATCCACATGTGGTTTTATAAAACACTTTGCAAATGTTCAAGGTGCAGGCACATGTCACTGGTTTAACGGAGGAAGCTTCTGTAAATCTGAGCATGAAATGTCTATTCTTGATTGAACTGAAGGTCTGACTGTACATGATACTTATACTTAGTGGTGGGCTTAGGCTGAGCCTATGACTAGTGTGGCTGAAGGCAGTGGGATGACTCAAACTGCTTCAGATGATGTGCATCCCTGCCCCAGGGCCAGAATACAGGACTCTTGGTGCTGGGAGAATGTTTGTCACCTAAATTGCAAATCATTCACTCTTTTCTCTTGGAAGATGCTTTAAAAGAATATGAAGAAATACATTAGGATACTGCTGGATTTTAATTTAAAAATCCAGTAATTGAGTTATCATGTTCTGCATTCAGAATTTGTGTGTCAAATTTTCAAGGTCCTTTATATCATAGAATTACTTGACAAAGGTGGCCTGTCTTTTCCTGGTTAATGAACTGTCTGCACATCTCTGCCTGTTTCTCAGGTGTGTTTGCTGCTGATGGAGGAAATGGCCATGTCTCCAGTGGGCTGTGACCAAGCAGTGAACCATGAAGACATGATCCCAAGATGAGGCACTTGGTGTTTCTGAGAATGAGCTGAAACCTAAGTAAGTGCCTCCGTGCTTAGCCCTCTCTGAGAGCTAGACCTGCACCCTCCCAACAAATCATCCTTCAGTTTCCTGTATGCCAACAGGTTCCTGTTGCTAGAAAATTTGCAATATGTTTTGTGTATTCCAGTAGCTGTTAAAATGCTTTGAGTTTTGTCCACTAAATTGGGCACAAAGATCTTGCTGAACCAAGAGCAAGGGAAGCGTCTGCTCGGAGCAGCAATACTGGCTGCTAATGAAACTTCAGAGAGAAAAGGAAAGTGATAGCCCCCTTCATTGCCAAGCCATTTCCAAAGGCTCTGCAGTCCTCTCTGCTCCCCACACACTTCACTCTGCCAGGGTTTTCCCAGACCCACTGTATGTTAACTGTGGGTGAACTGATTCATCCTCTCCATTGCTGAGCCACCTAAACGTTTCCAAAGGAAGGCAAGAAACCAGGTCAGCAGAGTGAAAGTAACCAAGGGAAAAAACACATATTCTTGTATTGGGAGAAAAGTCAGAAAAAAATGAATTAAAAAAGAAAACATCCACGGAGTGGATTTGAAAACCTCCATATGAGAGCTGCAGGGTGGTCGGTGCCTGACATCCCAACGGCTCGATGACAAAAGAAACGCTAGTGGTACAGGCTCTGAAAATCCCACTTCTGAGCTATTCTGGGTTTACTCAAAGAGCTGCTAAAATACAGCTGTGCTCTAAATCCATCTGTCCATTGAGCTACGTGGGAGCAGTGTCCGTTGAGACAGAAGCTAAGGTGTCATGGAAGAAATGTCCAAATATTCTCTAGTAGAAAGCAAGGCTGTGGCCTCCCCCACCAGCCTGAATGGAGGCTGTCATTCCAGCCCTGCATCCCTAAGCTGGTCTGCAGCACTCTCTGGGGAGTATCTGGAGGTCTGCATAGACCAACCTGACCAGCAGAAACCTCTTGAACTGATGAGAGTTTCCTTTCTGTTGCATCGTGTTAGCTCAGAGCTTTGACCCTTCCTCTGTTCCTTTCCAGATTTTGTTTTCAGGGTAGCTGCCCACAGGGTTGGTGATGTGTGGCTCACAGTGGTTCCTGATCAAAAAATGTGGACATTGAAGCCAAAAGAGTTTCAGACTGAACTGCACAAGCGTTTATTGGCTCCTTTAGGACTGTGCTACAGCCTGCAGCGAGTACCCATGAGCACAGCTAGCTGATCCTGCCACCAGCATCCTGTCCAGCTGGGGTGATCGCAGCCACGGCAAACAAACTGCACGCAGATTCATTTCACTCTCATTTTTGCAGCTCAAGCCAACTGGGAATGTAAAACCACACTGACCAAGGGAGGGCAGGGAAATTGCCAGTGAATGCAGAAAGAAGAAAAGGAAGGAAAATGTGGAAAGCAGGCGGTAAGAAAATGAATATTGTTTATTTCATAAAATCATAAAACGGTTTGGGTTGGGAGGGACCTTAAAGCTCATCCAATTCCATCCCGTGCCGCAGGCAGGGACACCTTCCACTAGAGCAGCTTGCTCCAAGCTCCTGTGTCCAACCTGGCCTTGAGCACTGCCAGGGATGGGGCAGCCACAGCTTCTCTGGGCACCCTGTGCCAGCGCCTCAGCGCCCTCACAGGGAAGAACTTCTGGCTAAGAGCTCATCTCAGTCTCCCCACCATCACTTTAAAGCCATTTGATACTCAGCATATTGATTTGGGTCAGGCCTTGCAAAGCAGTTAAATGTCTTGTGGAAGTAGCAGAGAGGAAGACCTCAGATCAGTCCTTCAGTCTCTGGGTGGGGATTAGCTGAAGTAATTGTTTGGCAGAGACACCAGGTGGGTGCTAAAGTTAAACTCACCTGCCAGTGCCGTTCTGAGGGGTTGGTTCAACCTGTTCTAGGGTATGGTGCCAACGAGGAAATGGAAATTCATGGATAGGTTCAGATGAGGAAGGAAACTACAAACATCCAAAATGCCTTTCCCCCAAACTGTAAGAGTGTTCAGACCCAAAGACTGGTTTTGACTCTATGAAGGTAAGCTTAGTCCTCTAGAGGGCATGGTTACACTGATTATATATTTAATAATTAACTAGTATTACCTTGGCTATGTGTTCGCTTTCACTGGTGTAAATCAGGAGTCAATGAACTAACACAGGTGGAGTTGCTATGTCTTTAAGCCTTGTTTTAAGGTTTTCCACATAAACTCTCTTCTTGAGGAAGCTGGTACAGTATGGGCCAGAAGGTTTGGTTTTGCTCTTTGGGGAAGCTTTCCAAGAGGTCGCTGTTACCTCTTTCCTTTGTACTGGAATCCAGTGTGAAAATCAGGGGATCAGTTTTTCCCATTTATTTATGTTCCTGCTTTGGTTAATCCCAGCATCTCTTGGTAGCAGCCTGGGCTGGACCATCTGAATAGTAGCACAATATGGGGTTAGTGTTCACCCTTTCATAAAGCATGGCAGCAGTTGTTTTGTGTTTGGGCAATCTGGTGGCTGAACTTACTCAGACAAATTTCAAAGTTAAGAACCTTGTGCAGGTGCAAATATGGTCACCATGTGCCTTACTGCCTGCCTTTCTCTGGTGTGCGAACAGAGCAGAGGTTTGAATCCGGGGCCTCGTGATGCAAAGGAAGATGCTTCACTTGCCGAGCCAAAAATCCACCTCCTCCACAGAGGCAGCAGGAGCTGTGCAAAGCCCTTTTAATCTGGAAGCCACGTCTTTGTAGAGCTTACACAAGGTTCACTAGTTTGTAATGCAAGCACCTGCGTTTTATTCACTTTTACAATATTTAAATCCCCTTATAAAATAAACGGCTACTTGCTGGAACGTTACCCGGGCTGTATGTCCAAGGTCTGATGAATTTCAAAGCTATTTTCTAAGATGCATTGGAGAAGGAGAAGGACTGGAAAGAGCCGTCAGCTAGTGTTACAAATAAAGAAGTATCAGTTTAATTTTTGTGGCTTCCTGCAGCTTCTGAGTGCATTCCACACAAATAACATGTTAAGATTTCTTGCTCGGGTCATTCGTAGTGCCAAACCAACACCTAGGAACTGAGAAGTGCTCTAATTTGTTATCATCACTGAACTGTGCTTCACAGTGTATACCTTTACTTCTCTTCTTCAGTTACTCTTGGAAGTCCTCCTCAGCCATTGCATCCTCCTTGTCCTTGACCATGATGATTATGGCCTTATATTCATTCCATTTGCTCACAAGAAAATAAGTAATCCATGTTGCCCTTTTTGAGTTCTTCCTTATGGCTGAAGAAGTGATGTTGTTAGTTGGTTTCAAAGATAATCTGCCTGTGGGTGAACCAGGTTCCTTAGGTTGAATCTATGGTTCCAGTTTTCACATGCAGCTTCCAGGGGCTGAGCTGCCCTTCCATTGAACTGACCTTGTTCACCAACCTTAGGCAAAGCCAGTGTGATCTGCCGCCTCACACAACTTCATCACCAGTGGGTTTGCAGGAAGAACACAGTCTAGAAGAGACTCTAGTCCCAGAAATTTGGTGCTGACCTGATGGTCCAGCCTTGCTCTGAAAATGGATTAAGGTGTTCTGGAGTGATACCGTAGCTTACTTTCTATAAAGATTAGAATTTACCCAGTGAAACTTTGATTCTCTGTAATAGGATGAAAGCCAGGCAAAGCTGTCCTTCAAAACTATGCTATTATCAGCATTAAAACTAACACTAGAAACTCATTCTACAAAGCAAACTCTGAAGCTGCAGTTATAAGGCCAGAGGTACTCAGATTAGCTCACTTAGAACTGCTCCAGATACCTCAGTGTTATGCTGCAGTCTGCGGTGTAGACATCCCTTGACACCCCTGTGGGCTGGACGAACTTGCGTAACTTTTTGCAGCATACATGAAAATGCAGCAAGAAGGCCATTAGAGAGGAAAGAGGGGGTTGGAACAGGGTTGTTTTGGCTTCAGCGCCGGACATGCCGTCTCAGATCATTGTTACTGCAACCATTTCATTCTAATTCATGCATGTCAACCCGTTTTAGGACTTTTCAGCATTTCACTCTTGCCATCATGCTGAAGAAGGCTTTGGCCATGCTTCATTATGCTTGGCTGGTGTCGCCGAAGGAGTGAGTGACACCGTTATCCAAGTCTGTCTCTCCACCACAGTGCAGACAGCCAAGCACTGTTGGCCCCAGTGGATATTGCTCAGCAGATCTTTGTCGGGCTTGTACAAACAAGATACGTTACCATTGACCTACCAGCTAAAAGTTCATGCCTCTGACTCCAGGATACTTCTTGTCTTGGTGTCATTTGTTCATTGAAATAAGTAGTTATTGTAAGATTATCACATTAACAGGGATTTTGTTTGCTTGTTTTGAGAAGAATGGCATTTTTCTTGCTATCAGATGCTGGGTGGGTGGTTTATTCTTTTGCTTTCTATTCCAGTGTGGGTTTGGGTTCATGAAAATGAGAGAATCTAAGCCTTGAACACAGCCAACTGCTTTACAAACCTCCCTAAGTCATTGCCAATTTAATTCATTGCTGGCCAATGGAGCTCAGGCTTCTTTTAAGTGAAAGGTGCCAATCATGCAGGGTTATACAGCAGTTTTGAAGAAAGCCAATTCACCTGTTTGCTGGAGACTTGAATCAAGCCACCAAATACATTTTCACTTATATCTAGAAATGAACCAAACCCAGAGTCCAGATCTGGCTGTCATAATCTAATTCTGATGTACTCTATGGCTTCTTTACTTAGAGCCATAGAACTGTGAGGAGATCAAAGAGTAACTTGAGATTAGACCTCTGAGGCACGACAGAACACCCACTTGGTGGTTCGGAGCCACCACAGAGCACAGCCTATCAGACTTCTCACTCTCTAGGCAAACTCATTTACAGATTTTCTTATGATCTACTTCTGATGGCTTCAGGGCTTTTACTTTCCATTTCCTCAGTTCCCAGATCCATCCTAGATCAGTTCAGACACCGCACATCAAAACTGGTGGTTTTCCATCTTGTTTTCACACCTCTTTCTCTACATGCAGAACAGCGTGCATTTTGAATCTGATATCTGAAATGGCTCCTTCTCTTCATGTTTCCTGCCTGAGTCCAGGGGATCTGGCGGTGCTGGGACTGCAAGGAGGAAGGTTAAATTTCGTCAAGCCTTTTTTTAAAGAGAATTTAAGAACTAACATTTACCATAGGGCACGGGTAAACAGACCTGTGCATGTCACTTACACCCTCTACATCTCAGGTTCAGATCTAAGAATGAACAAAACTTCTTCTTTCCAAGACAGAGGCACTACATACTGTCCAGTCTAGTGCATTAAATCATTTCACAGGACATTTTGAGGATCGGGTCACTTTTCTAGAAACACCATAAGAGAACACAGAGCTTTTCACAAGGGGGATTGTCTTAAAGTCACGTAATCATAGAATGGTTCAGGTTGGAAGGGACCTTAAAGCTCATCCAGTTCCAACCCCCTGCCACGGGCAGGGACACCTTCCACTAGAGCAGCTTGCTCCAAGCCCCATCCAACCTGACCTTGAACACGGCTAGGAATGGAGCAGTGGCAGCTTCTCTGGGCACCCTGTTCCAGGCCTGCAGTCTAAACATTCTGTGATCCATCAGCAATTGGTGGCAGGCTGACACCCAGCGCAGCACTGAGAGGTGGTAACCATCCCGTGAAAAATGAATTTCCAAAGTGAAATGTGACTTCACCAAGTGGAAGGATGCACATGGAGTTTCCCTGGGAAGGGAGCTCAGGCGTGTGGCTCTAGGTCTGTGGCACTGTAGCACTTCCGAGTTGAAACTATTTTTACTATGAAATTATTATTGCTGTGTTTTCACATTTCCTTTCAAGTTCCTAATTACTAACAGCCAAACCAAACTGCTAGGAAGCCCTGAGTGTCTCTGTCCGTCCACAGCCTAGCAGCACTGCCAAGCGGTATTCCGTTACACTACTCAGGGCAAACTATTTTCTATCCCTTCAATGTATTTCTAGTTTTATATGTTCCTTTTGAACCTGTTTTTTGCTTCTTTCTTCCTCAGTGACTTTACCTCTGTGGAGCCCTTTGCCATCGCAGATCAAGGGCTAATTTTTTTCAGGTCTGTTTGTGGGAATTAAGGTAAATAAGTGGGTATTCCCATAAATCATGTATCTTCAGAGGTCAGTGGAAGGCCGTATGTTTCCATTGCCTCTGGAGAGATTTTTAGCCTTAGCTTCTTGACAAATCAATTACATTTCCTTTTGCTGACTGTTTGCCAACTCATTGAATGCACATTTTGTATGGGACACTGGGAATGTGGCTGCTTTAATTGCATTCCTTAGGGAGTCCATCCTGCACACCTTGACTTGCCCACATTCCCACTGACTTCAGTGGCAGCTTGAGCTGTGAAAGGTGAGCAACAGCAAACACCAGCATGAAGGAAGGTAGCAGACATGAAGTGCACTCTGCA